CGCTCGCGACGCTGCAGTCTCAGGATGCGCGCCCCGAGGAGCACCGGGAAGGACCTGAGCTGGGACCCTCGGCGAGGAGAGCGCTGGGAGGGCGCGGGGACGCGGGCGCCGGCTGGTGGTCGCGTTCGCAGCAACTGAGAGCCGCGGTTTTTCTCCGACCGAGGAGGACGCCGCAGTGGGGAGGCGCGGACCTCAGCTCTGAGCCCGCGGGGCGGGCGGTGCAGGGGGAAGTGGGGCTGGCTGACGCCGGGCCGAGGCTACTTACGTTTTTGCGGTGGGGGAGACCTTTCCACGCCTTGTCCTGTGGGCTCCTAAATGCATTTGTATGCATTTGTCCGTGCGGCCAAGCGCTCACGGAAAACAGAAGCCAACTCCCAACTGTTACGGGTGCAGGTACTGTCCATGAAAAAGGAGGAAAAAAAATCACGTGAAAACCATGCTCCAAACTCGCCACAAGAAAAAAATTAAAAAAAAAAAAAAAAGAGGGGGCGGAGACAGCACCCGAAGGGAGGACGCAGAGGCTTCCCGCTGCCTCGATCGGAAGGAACGAGCAGGGTTGCGTCCCCGGGAGCAGGGCGAGGAGGAGGCGCCGGCGGCCGCGGGAGTCGGCTGTGAGTGCAGCCCTGGAGTTCTCTTGCGGTTCAGAAGCGACTCTCTGACTCCAGTGGAGCCCTCAGCTTTGGACCTGGGGGTGGGGGGTGGGGGGTGGGAGATAGGGGAGTCCTTGCAAACGGCTGCCGACCGAACGTTTGTCAAGCGCACACACCCACTTCGGAAATCGAGTCAGGCGAGGAGACCAGTGGCAACTGCGGACCTCGCCGGCGTGGACTGCGGCCGGCTGCCTCGCCTGGAAAAAGAGGAGCCAAGCAAATCCGGCCGGTGTTAAATTTCACCGCTCTCTGACTTGCGATGACATCACCGCACAGTGCACACCTCCCGCTCGGCCCGCAGCTCCCCACCCAGCGCCCTCCCGGTCCCCAGCCTGCGGGTCCGGCTGAGCGGCAGCCGGCTCCGCAGCGCCCTAACCTTCCCCGTCGCGGCGCTCCCAAATGCATGCGTTCCTCCCGCGTACCTCCCAGCCCGTCGTTCACTACCTGCACCCACACCTCCTGGATTTCTACTTAGCGGAAACCTTCATTCTCCGAACTTTTGCTTTCTTTGCAGGTACCCTTGAGGGGCAAAGCGCCTTATTAACCGTGATGGTTCTGGTTTCCACCTTTACTCCCTTCACACTCTCCTTTTAGATGGCTCTCTTGCTACTTCTACTGATTTTTCTTTCAGCTAAGCCACCTTTCCGCCTGCCTTCTTGGCCCTTTATCTGCCTACTTACAAGCTCCTGTCACTGCCCTTGCCATGCACAAGCATGCTGACACACCGCAGCCTTACCAACTCGAGTAGTTCCCCAGTATTTGAAAACAGATTTCCACTTGCACAGTTCCCTGTCTCCCCACAGCCCTGTCACACTTAGAAGTCTATCTAGTGATGTTTTGCAAAAATAAGAAAGCCAGAAGTTCTGAGGTTGTAATTCTATCTTCCTTGTGAAGCCTAGAAATCCGGGAGAGTGTTTTACTCTTCCATTGTTCTAAGCATCATTGTTATTTGTATTATCTAAAATACCTCCTTACCTGTCTGTTGAATGAATGAGTAACCGCTGTCCATTAAATATGATTTCTCCAAGTTTTTCTCATCTGTTCCGTGTCATCAATATCGAGTGGCCATGTCACGTGATGGAAGGGATCCCACATTACACACATAAAGGTCAAAGTGATCTTTTTGATGAATGAAAATATTCTCAAGCCAAGTAACTATTTTACTCCAAAATGATAGAACTTAATTTATTTCCTCTCTCAATTTTTCAACTTTTTAATTTTAGTTTTACACTTATAAAAGTTGCATTTATTAAAAAAATCTTGCAGAAACAGTACAGAGTCCCGCAGGCTGTTTCCTCCACTTTCTCTAATCTTAGCATCTTATCAAATTACAGCGATCAAAATCTGACAATTACCACAGGTACAACACCAGCGCCCAATTTATAAATCTGATTCAGTGTTTGTCAGTATTTCCAGGACTATCCGTTGGCCAGAACCTTACCCAATATCCTACAGTCTGTTTAGTTGGTTAATTAGCAGATATTAAATTGTTACATTTCTTTAGTGTCCTCCCACCTGTGACATTCTTACCTTTTTTTGTCTTTTGCCTCAAATTTTTAAATTAAAATCATTTTTAAAATTTATTTGGTATAGGGTCTGCTACACAGCTCAGACTCATAGTGGTCTTCCTGTCTCAGCCTCCCCAGTGCTGGAATAACAGGTGTGTGCCACCATGCCTGGTCTCAGTGGTTGGCATGGTGCACCCTGGGTTCCAGGGCCAGCACAGCATGCAGTGCCAGGGATCAAATCCCAGTCCTTGTGCTTGTCAGGCATGCAGTTAGACCACCGGGCTATTTCCCCAGCACTGCCTGGAAGTTTTTGAAGAGCAATGGGCAGTCATTTTCTAGGTTCTACCATTTGAGTTTGTGTGATGTAGTCTTATGATTGAATTCAGTTTGCGTATTGGGTTGAACATTTGGCTGAAGTGATGTCATCCCCCTCTCAGGGCATCATCTTGGGGTAGGGGATGTTGGCATGCCATATCCCTAGTGATGCTAACTTGGATCACACTAGGCATCCACCTCAAATGTCTCATTACTATGAAGTCTCTCCTCAGTTTTTGTAATGAAATTCTCCTAGCAACTAAGACCATGGGAAATGCTGCATGGAAATGGTCATTCTTAAGAGACCTTAAATTCTGCATCTTTGGCTTTTTTTGTCAACTAAAGGACAGGTAATTTGGTTTTATGGAAACTGATAGTTTAATTTATTAGTTTAGTAACTACTATTTTGGAAGTTCTTAAATAACCTTTCTATGAGGCGTCACAGGTATTTGCATATAGACTAGTTAGAGGAAATGGGACCCATAGGATGAAGAAGATGCCAAAGGGCATATATGGGGCTGGAGGGATGGCTCAGTGGTCTGAAGCACCTACTTAGAACAAGCTTGGCAAGTTCTAAGGGACTGCGGTTCAATCCCCCAGCACCACATGCCAGCCAGGCCTGCCCCCTGGTGGGCTGAGCTGGCCACACACACATATCTCTCTCTCTCTCTCTCTCTCTCTCTCTCTCTCTCTCTCTCTCAAATAAATAAAAAAAATTAAAAAAAAAGGGCATATATGCCCTCACTATTCATTCAGGGAAAGAAGGCGTATGCTCAGTGGAAGATAAGCAGTGGAAAGGCTTAAAGGCCATAGACATTATATGATGATAGACATTGGCACAGGTCAAATTGATCAATACAGATTAGCAAGACAACCTGAGATTTTGCAAGGCCATGTAAGGCAAAGAAGATTTACATCGGTGGAGAGGAGAAAGATAGTTTCTGAGTAAACAAAGAGTAGAATAATAGTAAACAGACGGAGGGGAAAGAAATATTCATGAAAGAAAGAGAAGATTCATTGTATTGGCTTAGAAGTTGACATTACATTGGACAAGTTGAGAGTCAACTACACATCACCATTGCTATAGGCAATAGGAAATGAGCTGAAGGCTTGCAAACTGATAAATGATCATGTTCCAAAGTTTCATTTTAAAACAGCTTGGCAGTATCAGATACCAAGACTGAAATAATGACAACAAAATAAATGAGATGTTGAGGTAATGTTAATATAGTATCTTGAAATACAGGACAAACTGTGGGAAAAGAGAATCTTTGATGAAATGAATCAAGATTTGCTAAGTGGTTAGATTAAGGGAGAACACATAGATGAAACAACAAGCCTGAATGATAAAGGAATTTCTGGCTGGGAGATAGCTTGGTGGTCTAAGTGCCTGCCTGGTCAGCGCAAGGTCCTGAGTTCGATCCCTGATACCATATGCCTGTGGGCCCCAGAACTCTGTGCTGGCCCTGAAACCCAGCATGATTGCACAGATCTGTAATCCCAGGGCTGGGGAGGGAGGCTGGGACAAGAGGATCAGGATCACGAAGAGTCCAAGCTGTGTAGTGAAACTCTGTACCAAAGAAATAAATAACTTTTGAAAGAAAATTTTATAGGCCAATGTCAAATGGGAAGATAAATAATGTAGAGTGAGACCTTACTTTTGTGATCATGGTAGGACATTCTTCTGAAACTGTCCAAAGAGCTTTTGGAGTTGGAAGCTAGCAAGCATTCAGGACAGATGACAGAACTAGTTTTGTATTTCTTCATCATCTATACAGAGTAGTATTGAAAGCTTTAACAATGGATTCTATGCTGAAAGAAGGGACTTTGAAAAAGAGAACTAGGGCTGGGGAGATGGCTTGGTGGTCTAAGTGCCCTCCTGGAAAGCACGAGGACATGGATTCAATCCCCGGTACGGCATGCCACACTAGCCCTGGAACATAGTTGCACATGTGTGTACAATAAGCACTGGGGAGGCTGAGACAGGAGGATCACTACAAGTCTGAACTGCCTAGTGAGACCCTGTTGCAAATAAATAAATACATAAAAGATATTTTTTAAAAAGAAGGAAGA